GCCGGCCTCACGCGCATGTCCACCAGGGGCCCACCGCGGCGACCGCCCCAGCGCTCCTCCGCCGCCAGCGCAACGGCCACCTGCAGCCAGCTCGCGCCGTGGTGCTCCGCTCGCCGCGCCTTGCGCACTCCCAGCCCCCCAGTGCTCATCCCTCCTCGTCCTCGTCCTCCTCGTCCTCCTCGTCCTCTTCCTCCTCCTCGTCCTCCTCCTCCTCCTCCTCCTCCTCCTCCATCTTCTCCTCCTCCTCTTCCTCATCCTTTTATTCTTATGATTATTATTATTATTCTCCTCCTCCTCCTACGAGGGCCTCCTCCTCCTCCTTCTCCCTCCTCCTCCTCCTTCTCCTCCTCCTCCTCCTGCTCCTCCTGCAAGAGACATCGAAAAGGATTGTGCTTCTGCAAGAATTGTGGAGCCCCCAAGTCTGACACCGAGCGGGCCCTTGCCCACGGCAAGGGCGAGTGGTCTTCAAGTGCTCCGTTGCGACCAAGTCTTCTCCCTCAGCCGCCCTCGGAGTGAGCCAACCTCGGGCGTTGGCAGAACTGGGTTTAGTGGGACCTGGTTTAGTGATGTGTACTGGGGGACGCTCCCCCCGCCCGTTCCACTAACCTGAACTGACGTCACCCGAAAAAAACACCAGCTAGGGCAGACCTGGCTTAGTGATTCTAGCAAATTTAGGGGCTCCAGGGCCCTACTACTAATGGGGTTCCCTTACCTGGGGTCCTTGCTATACCCGACAACCTCCCGGAGGCCGAGCTCGAGCAGCCCATCATCTTCGGAGGCAAGCTGGGAGACCAGACGAGCGTTGCTCAACATCAGGCGGCACTCCGCAGGTTGCAGGCGGCCAGTGCGGAGCCAGTGTAGAAGCCTCTCCAGCTGCGCGTCGCCATTGCTCGCCAGAGCGCGGTGGCTGGCGAACGGCGCTTTTCCAGAGCACCTGATCGGCTGCATCGCTGGAGGGAGCGAGGACTCGGAGCAGGACAGGACTGTCCAGTCCCTTTGCTTCGGAGCTGGGTCGGAGGGATTCGGAGAGCTCCATGCGTCGGCCAGCCCCGCGGAGGATGAGGCGACACGCCGCAGTGGCACTGTTCTTCGGTTCACTGATACGTTTGATTAAAGGCCTCCCTCACCTTTTGGAATGCCGACGGCCTGCTCGGACTCAGTGAGACGAATTCGGGCTCCGCAAAAAAGATGCATATCGACTGGCCAAACGAAAGGCCGATGTACAAGCAGGCTTCGAGGAACCCGCAACGAACCTGTTCGGCAACGCGACGGAGAAGATCAGAGCGATCAAGGTCACCCAGCAGGCCCACCTCACCCGTTTAAACAACAAGAGAATGAAGACGGGATTTGACGGCCAGACAATCCCGGGAACAGCAGCAGCAGTAGCAGCAGCGGCAGCAGGCTCCCGACGTTCGCCCTCGCGCCAAGGAAGATTTTGGGCAATGTCCCAAAGCAGCCCCCCCCCGCCCCCAGTGCAACCCCAAACCAGCGATGAACACAACCGTGCTCAGGGTGTGTGGTGGTGGGGAGGAACACTCCTAGGAGCAATGTTGATAATATGTGTCTGCAGCGGCTGTGCCGAATGCCGCACCCCGAGCTTGTCGGATTCTGGCTCAAGAGCACCGCCTGGCCCACCAGGATCACATCGATGAGGCCTCGAGTGGGCCAGTAAGGGCGGCTGGAAGAACAAATCCATCAACGCAGATGCCGGTGTGCCGTGGGCTCAACAGCACCTGGAGGAGCCGGCATACTGGCTCAGGATTTTTTGGGAAGTTTACCATGGGGAGCCCACAAGGGACGTACGCGCCCAACTATGTACATGAACACGGCCCCTCGATCCGCGAGCCTGGCCGCGTGATGCGAACACTTGCGCAATGCGTACTCTCGAAACCAGCGTCGATTCATGTGCGTGTACGTCCCTCTCTCGCCGCCTTCGCCCCCGGTTCAACATGGCTTGGGGGGCTGCGTTCCGTCCAGGGCGGCGACGTGCTGGGTGCAGGCTCCCGAGGGTGAATCGCTTCTCTGCGTGCCACTTCGCCTCCACGACGGCGAGGGGCCTTCTGCGGAGAACCTCCCACTTGTGGCCACGGTGGCGTCCCTGATCCGAGGGGTCGGGAGGCCACGCGTCGTTGGAGGAGGTTTTGACCTGACGCCGCTGTGGAGCTCAGCCAGCTCGAGCTCGCCCTCAGCTTATGCAGCGCGGCTGTCAATCCAGATGTGCGCAGAGCCTGCGGGTCCACGCCCAGGGCGGGCGCCAGGCTCCTGGACCACATGGTGTTCTCTGGAGGCATCAGCAAAAAAGCATCCAGGAGAGCAGAGTTGCAGAAGAAAGCGTTTTGAGCACGAGGCCTTCTCGGACCGTGGCGAGCGCCTCTTGGACTGTCCTGGGGCCATCTTGGGCGACTTTTGGGCCGCCATTGGGCCATCTTGGGCCGTGTTGAGCCCCTCGCGGGCTCCGCTTCAAGTCCCCTTGGGCCGTTTTAGGCGCTTTTCGGCCAGTCGTGGGGCTGTCGGAGCCGTCTCTTGGGGCGCTCTTGGCCGTTTGGGACGCGTCGAACAACAAAAAAGCTGATCTGAGAATGTCAGTTTTCCGTAGGGGAATGTCGGGATATATGCTTGATTGAGCCCTCTTGGGGGTCGCCTTGGAGCTCTCTTGAGGCGTTTCGGCGGCTTCTCAGCCACTAGGGATGATTTGGGAGCCGTTTTTGGCTGGCTGGGGTGCCTCTTGGGGGGTGGCTGAAAACAATGTTTGGCTCTTCTGGGGCCGCCGTGGGGCCGCGTGGAACAGTTGGGAAGCCACACTTAGCCGTTTGGGCGCCCTCTTGGGGCCGCTGTGGGGCCGCTCTGGCGCCTAGAAAGACGGCTCCCTACCCAAACCCGCAAGGCACCTTTTCGGATGTATTCGGATAGATACATGTACACACGAGCATCATCGTATCATACTCCTGCTCCTGCACCTGCTCCTGCAACTGCTCCGCCTCCCCTCCCTGCCATTTCCTCCTCCTCCTCCTCCTCCTCCTCCTCCTCCTCCTCCTCCTCCTCCTCCTTCTACACCCCCCGCCACTTCCTCCTCCCTCGGCCCTCTCCTCCCGGCCCCGCCCTCCCTCCTCCACCCCGCAGCGGCGCCTGCACCACCTCGCAGGCGTGCGGGGTCATCTCCCACCGCTTCGCCCCCTGAGGCCGCTCGCGCGCCCACGCCGCCCACGCCGCGCCAGCGGCGAGGTCGAAGCCGATGGGCTGCGCCCTCCGCGCGGCAGCGGCGGCCTCCACGTCCTCCGGGAGGTGCCAACCAAGTCCAGCTGGAGTCCCGCCTTGGCTCCAACTTGACCTGCTCCATCTGGACTCCGCCTCGCCCAAGAGGAGGCCAAGTCAAGTTGGAGGCCCACCTGAGGGGGCCTCTCTTGACTCCAACTGGACCTACCCCAACTGGGCTTCAGCGTCGACCGAGTCCTCTGGGATCTGGGTTTCGTGGTGAATGTTTTTTATTCGGCGTTTGGGCATTGGGCGGAAGGGAGGGGTGAGGGGGGGGGTCTGGCTCCAGACCTCTGCTTAGTGCGGCTGTTTGGGACCGTGCGTCCTCTGGGGGAGAGGCTCCACCAGCTTCCAGCAGGCGCCAAAAACAGCCAAGATCTACTCCACCAGGGGAGGAGGGGGGGGGTGCGAGGGCCCGCGCCGATCGGCAAAAGAATTGATACAAAAACGCCCACGTGGCAAGAGCCTGCTTCGGGACGCACCCCGACCTCGTCCACCATCCCCAGAGCTCCGGCGATCTGTCTGTCCAACCAGCGGGCCTCCCTCGACGTCCGCCCTCTTGCGCCTGTTCATCGAGCCCCAGGGCCATCAGAACGGACGCAGCAGGACGAAAACAACCCCCGCAGCAAGGCGGTCGAGACCCCCGGGGGGCCGCGGCTTGAGAAGAAGTTGATCGGCGGGTGTGTCAGGAGACTCGGGCGTCGCTGCAAGAAACCGACCGGGACGCGCCCGATCTCGTCCACCATCCTTGTTTCTCTCTGTCTCTCTGTCTCTCTGCTCGGCGAAACGCAAGAGCGACCCCGGGCAAGAGTGGCCTTTGGTGCGCGACCCAATGGGCGAGGGGGAGCCCTTCTGGGGACACCACCAGGCGCGCAAACCGCTGCTGTCGCACCGCAATCAGCGGTCGGAGGGCCCCCTTGGGCCTGCACCAGAGGTCACTCCAGCGAAAGGTCCCCCCCCAAGGGGCGCAGGAGATCGTACGCGCCACCACTCCGCAGGACCCCCCAGGGCGAGCAGGAAAAGTTGCGACGGCTGCGCGCCTCGCAGCACCCACGTGAGCGAGAGAGATGAGGGAACGAAGAGGGAAGACGTACAACAAAAATGACAAGAAGAGTAATATCAATAGTAAGAATCATATTATTAATCTTAATAATAATAATACTAATAAAATAATAATAATACTAAAAATGCTAATAATAATGATATTATGATCATTAATAGTATTAATAATAATACTACTACTATTAATACGAATATTGTTTTCTTCATAATAATGATAAAACTAATAATACCAATAATACTAAACATACGAATGACAATACTAATACTACTAATGCTATAACAACATACGGAGAGGATGAATAATAATGATAATCAGAGGAATAAGGCTAATAATACTACGAATAAAAAAGAACGCGAAGATGGAAACGGGGGACGCGGAGAGGGAGAAGAGAGGAAGAGAGGAGGGATGAGCGGGAGAGGGGGAGGAGGCGAGAAAGGAGCGGCAAGAGCTTCACCCGAAACGAGGACCCAACACAGAGTCGTTGGCAGCGAATCGCGCCAGGCTTCCTGCCCCGATGCGGGCGGGACCCTCACGGATCGGCCACTGCTCGAGAGATCCCGAGCAGACGGGATCGAGTCGAGAGGCCCGATCATGATTAGGCTTAGGTCGGGCATGTCCCCCTACAGGGGGATTTTGTGCGAACAATTGAAAGCACATGCTCCCAAAATACCCCAAACTACTTAGAACAAAAACTAAAATATCGTCCCCAGACTATTGTTTTACTATTTTTGAACATTCCCACTGTAGAGGGACAGGCCCGACTTAAGATTAAGCTCGCCATGCAATGTTTTTGTTTCCCGCCACGTTGGATGGCGGGGTCCGCGTGGAGGTCACGGAACCGCTCCATGAACCGCAGGTTGAATGCGTCGATGTTCGGCGGCGAGCGGGGGGGGGGAAGTGAAAAGGAGAAGTCCTTCTCAGAAGGTTCGGACGTCCCCCCGCCTTCTGAGAAGTTTTCTAAGCCGTCCCCGAAGATACAGACAACTTCTCAGAAGGCGCGAGGGCTTCTGAGCAGTCCCGTCGCCTTCTGAGAAGGCCTTCTCCTTCTCATTTCCCCCCTCGCTCGCCGCCGAGATGTCGCCGGCGGCCTGGCCCGCCAGGCTCAAGAGCTTCTGCGCCTCGCGGAGACGGAAGAAGGTCTCCAGGGTGTTGGACGGCACCAACAGCTGCTTCGGCACGTCGGGATTACTCTCCCATGGGTCGGGTGTCGCTAGAAGTGCCCCGGACCCAAGGTGCCAGGATTTCCAGGGAGGCACCCGAGGCCTCAAGAGCACCCCCTCACGAGGCCCAGAGGGCCCCAGGGGCCCCAAGGCTGAGCGGGAAGCTGGGGGGCACCTTGGGCCAGGAGCACCTGTAGCAGCCCGCGAACTGGGGGCTCGAAGATGACGCTCTTCTCGGGCCACTGCAGGTCCTGGACGAGAGACACCTCCGCAGTGGGCGTGGCTCAATTGGGGGGGGGGGGTCACAACTGGAGGGGGGGGGGTCAGAAAAGGCCCCCTCTCGTGCCCCTCCAGGGCCCCAGGGGACTCCTTTAGGCACCGTTCGGGTACCTTTGCCCGGCGCCCAACCGCACCCGCGGCCTCGCGGGCCGGGCCCCTGGGCCGCGACCCCGCGGACACGGGGCGCCTCGTCGCGGAGGCCCCGCGCGGAGCGCGCCCCTGCCACCGCGCCTCCGCGGTAGTACCCAGCCCCCCGACGTTGTTTTTTTTCACAGCGTCGACCCCCAGAGGTCTGGACCCCTTCCCCAGGACCGGTTCTTCGTCGCCCGGAGTCGTTTGTTGACGGTCCCGAGGCCTGGTAGGGGCCCCCTGGAGGCCGAAAATAACGAAAACCCTCCCGTCGTGCTTTTGTTCACAGCGCGAGCAGGTCAGGGTATCGCGCCCCGGAGTCCAGACCGCGAGGGCGCGGACATCCCTGACTCCAGATCCGCCCTACTTTGGCTTTTTTTCCAACTTAAAATTGCGTCGAAACTCCACTATAAGGAGCCGAAGAAGTAGGGCGGAAATTTCTGCACCCAACATAAAATAGGGCGAAAATCCACAGAAGTAGGGCGGAAACAACAACAGAACAGCAGGGCGGAAACTGGCATCAGCGGGGCTTGAAAAGTAAGGCGGAAATTCCAAGCCCTACTGACTACCTGCCAGACCACCCCAACCCAACCCGAAGACCCGAATTTCGGGTTGGGGGGGGTAAGGGTTCCACATGTGTTTTTTCGATGTTTCCCGACCCCCCCACACTGGAAATCGAGGCTAAATCTGAGCCTTCGGGTTGGGTTGGGGTGGTTTGGTGGGTGGTGACCTACTTACGAATTTCCCCAAATCAGGGCGGATCTGGAGTCAGGGATGGATGCGTTCGCCGCCCGTGAGGTCCCCCGCCGAGCCAGCCGCTGCGCGCGCCGCGCCCGCCGAGGGTGCGGCGCCCGCGCCCAGCCCCGGCGCCGCCCGGCTCCCGGGCAGCGCGCCGCGAGTCCGCCCGCCACGGTTGCGGCACCAGCCGGGGTGGGCCTGCCGCAGCGCGGTGGCCAGCCGTAGCGTCGCTGACCGTCGCATGGCCCTCGGGCTGGTGCCCAATACGGCTGCGGACGAGAGATCGCGGCGAGCGTCGAAAGCGGTGCCGAGAAATCCCATCATCCCGCGGAGGCGCCAAGACCTAGCGCACATCATAACACTGACTCGGATGCAGACCTGCCAGGGTGCAGAAACGTCGATGTGTGATGCGTGCGCTGTGCACGTATACCGTGCAACAGATGTGAGCAACCACGAAACGGGCACCGCGTGCATGAGTGCTTGGCGCCAGCAGAGTCCCCATGAGCTGAAGCTACAGACAAACTTACAGCAAGGGCCATACCGGTGGAAGAGGACAGTAAGAGTGTGAGTAAGGATGCGGATCTAGGTGTGTGGAGGCAGGAAGAGCAGGAGTAGGTGAAGGAGGTGGAAAAAGACTCGGAACTCGGAGATTCGTCGAAAAGCTCCAGCTGGGAACAGTCGTCGGGTGTGTGCAGCACTCACGGCTGGCTGGATGAAGGGTCAATTTTTTGCTGTCAACTTACGACCGCCGTCTACACGTCACGCGGGTGGCGCGGTCTGCCGGAGGCCCGTGACCTCCTCCAACAAGGCCCTCTTCACAATCTTCCACTCCTGGGAAGCCAAGACATTCCGATACCGCAACTCCCCTGACCTCCCACTGGGTGCGTTCTGACCCGAATCCCACCAACCCTCTGGGCGTAGGTGGTTTAACGAACTTTGTCTCCTCTCTGCCACGAACCCTCCCTTCCCTGCTTGGGGGAAGGGCTTACACCTCCCCCTGGGCCTCCCCTGGGCCTGGGAGGGGGGGTGCGCGTCTGGTTTGAGCGCCCAAGATGACCCAAGATGGCGCCAAGCTGGCAAGAATCCTGAAGGAGATGGTTCGAATTAGCCTCCGACACACATCGAAGAGGTTTCAAGACGGCCCGAAGACGGTTTCAAGTGCCCTCCGAGCCCTCCAAGGACCCCCCAAAGAGGCCTAAATCCTTCGAGAACCTAGGGAAATCAATGTTTTTTGCCTTCTCGCCTTTTCGCTTCCAATGGGCTCTTGAGGCCTCAAGGTGACCCCAACACGGCCCAAGAGAGCCCCAAGAGGGGCCCAAGAGGGCCCCAAGTGGGCCCCCAAAACACCCAAGAGCGCTCCAAGAGCGCCCCAAGAGGGCCCCAATACGCCTTTTTTGAGCCTCCGAGAGGAGGGCCTGAATTTGCCCCCCCCACCCCCCCCCCCCCTCCCTTTTGAGCCCTGGTGCCCAAGAGGCCTCTCAGACCCCAAGAGGGCCCCCAAGACCTCCTACATGAGCCGCAAGAGGGCCCCCAGAATGCCCCAAGAGGCCCCACGGGGGCCCTAACAGAGCCCCTATGATAGCCTTAAGCCCTCCTTCAATAATCTCTCACAACAACATACCTCCAACACCCGAATTCTCATCCTCATTGTCATCGTCCGTTCCTTCCCTCCTCCTTGCCTGCCTCCTCCCCCTCCCCCTCCTCCTCCTCCTCCTCCTCCTCCTCCTCCTCCTCCCCTCCTCCCTCCTCCTCCTCCTCCTCCTCTCCTCCTCCTCCTCCTCCTCCTCCTCGTTCTCGTCCTCGTCCTCGTCCTCATCCTCCTCCTCCTCATATTCCTCGTGACACATTCCTCGTCCTCCTCCTCCTCCTCTTCTTCCCCCTCCTCCTCCTTCTCTCTTTTTCCTCCTCCTCCTCCTTCTCCGCTTCCTCCTCCTCCTCCTCCTCCTCCTCCTCCTTCTGCTCCTACCCCCACGATGGTCCCAAGAGGTCGAGCAGGGCTCAGAATAGCCTCCAACAGACCTCCAAGAGGCCTCAAAGGAGCCACAAGACGGTCCAAGATAGCTGAGCATGGCTCAGGATAGCCTCCGATAGCCACGAGAGCCTCCAAGAGGCCTCAAGGAAGCCTCCGATCGTGTCTGGATGAGCTGGTGGGGGTACGCGAAGCGTCCAGAATCTCGAAGCAAGTCCAGCCGTGGCGAGGGGGGCCTCCCAAGAAGCGCGAAGAGGCCCAAACTACGGAATGGTAGCGGTATTGGCACCCTCTCCTCCCCTGAACTCCTCGTCGCTCAAGAGGCGGAACTTGCGAAGATCCCCCGCTCTGCACAGCGCCGTGACGACCTCTGCGATCGCGGACTCAGACCTCCTGTCCGGCGGCGGCGGCCCAGCCCCAGGCCCAAGGCTCTCCTCGCGTGCGCAGGGGGGGGGGGGTCGCCAGGAGGAGGGGGGTCGGCGCATCGTGGCCAGAGGCACGCGCGAGGGAACCAGAGCGGGGGCAGGGGGCGCAGACAGACTGAGAGAAGAAGGGATCGCGGGGAGGGGGCACGACATCTGGGCCATCTTTTACAAAAAAAAACCAGCGAAGGGTATCCACACGCCCCTCAACTTACAGCCCTCGTGATGCCACGGGGAACGCTGAAGAAGGGGCGAGGGGGCTTTTCTGGCCACGGCGAGCCCATCCAGAGCCCCTCCTGAGCCGACAGTGGTCCTTCTTCCAGCATCTTGACTGCAGTCCCCCAGCCCAGCGTGTCGCGGCGGCGGCCCCGGCGACACGCTGTGCCTCGCGAGTGGACAGCGTGCCGCTCCCCTCCGCGGGGCGGACGGCTTGGGAAAGCTCGGGCCCGAGTGGACGCTGGGCGGCCGGGAAGTGGACAGCGTGCCGCACCGAAGCGTGATGGGCCGTAACCGGCGGAGCGCCACGCCGAGTCAGAGCTTCCGACCGCACGCGTCCCTCACCCACGAGACCTCCCGCGGGTAGAAAAAGAAAAAACAGCATAAACATAAACTGTTGGCGCTCCGCGCGGATCTCTTGGGTCCGCGCTGGGACCCCCTCCCTGGCGCGCGGAGCGCCCGAGGGGCGACGCTGGAGGCGCCGCCAGGGGGGGGAGGCCCATGCGCAGATCCAAGATATCCGCGCGGAGTTTATGCTATGCCGTCTGTTCTTCTTCGAGTGGGGGCCGCGCCTGAGCCAAGAGCGCGTGCGGCCGCCCGGCGCCGGCCCCCGCGGCCACCGCGCCGCCGCCGCCCGGCGCGGCCTCCGCGGCGGCCCCTCGCCGCCGCTGCCGCGGCGGGCCCTCCGCGAGCGCGGCCCGCAGCGCCCGCCGCCGCTGCGGCGCGGGCCGCGCGGCGCTGTCCGCCCGCGGGGCCGGGGCAGACGCGCCGCGCCGCGCCGCGGGGTCCGCGGCCGAGGCCCCGCGGCATCTGCCTCCTCGCCTGTGGCGGTGCCCGCGGCGGCCCCCCGCTGCCGGGACGGCGGCGGGCCCTCAGCGCCTGCCGCCGACGCCGAGCGCCCGCGCCGCCGCGGCTGCGGGCCCTCGGCGCCCGCCGCCGCTGCCGAGCGGCCGCGTCCGCGGCCGCCGCCGCGTTCGCCTTCTCTGTGGGCCGCCTCCGCGTTGGCGGCGGCGCCGGCGGCCCCAGCGCCCTCACTGGCCGCGGCGGCGGCTGCCGCTGCCTCTGCGGCGCCCTGGGCGCCAGCGACCAAGGCGGCCTCCACGGTCGAGGTCGCGCCGCCGCTGCTGGGCGCTGGAGCTGTCGGCGAGACTGGCGGGGCGACGGCGGCCGCATCGGCACCCACCTTCTTTCGACGCTGCCGCGGCGATTCAGCCGTGCCGTCGCCAACCGCCGTCCCTTCCGCAGCCGCCCGCAGCCGCCCGGACCTGCGAGGCTGCTGCGGAGCGAGCCGCGCGGCAGCATCTCCAGCGCCCGCTACGGCTGCAGAGCCCCTCTCCGCAGCGCGCCCAGCGGCCTCCCGCTGTGGTGGGCCGTCCTTGTCGGCCACAGCCTCCTCCGCGGCCACGGCGACGTCAGGACCTCCACTGCTGGTGCCGTTGGTGGCCTTGGCCCGCCGCCGCCCGGACTGGCGAGGCTGCTGCGGAGCGAGCCGCGCGGCAGCATCTCCAGCGCCCGCTACGGCTGCAGAGTCCCCCTCGGCAGCGCCCCCAGCGGCCTCCCGCTGTGGAGGGCCGTCCTTGTCGGCCACAGCCTCCTCCGCGGCCACGGCGACGTCAGGACCTCCACTGCTGGTGCCGTTGGTGGCCTTGGCCCGCCGCCGCCCGGACTGGCGAGGCTGCTGCGGAGCGAGCCGCGCGGCAGCATCTCCAGCGCCCGCTACGGCTGCAGAGCCCCTCTCCGCAGCGCGCCCAGCGGCCTCCCGCTGTGGTGGGCCGTCCTTGTCGGCCACAGCCTCCTCCGCGGCCACGGCGACGTCAGGACCTCCACTGCTGGTGCCGTTGGTGGCCATGGCCCGCCGCCGCCCGGACCGGCGAGGCTGCTGCGGATCCAGCCGCGCGGCAGCATCTCCAGCGCCCGCTACGGCTGCAGAGCCCCTCTCGGCAACGCCCCCAGCGGCCTCCTGCTGTGCTGGGCCGTCCTCGTCGGCCACAACATCCGCGGCCGCGGCGGTGTCGGGCCCTCCACTGCCGTGGCCGCGGCTGCGGCTCCGGCCGTCGCGGCTGGACGCTGGCTTGGCCTCCCCTGGCGGATGCGCAGCGGCCACGGCGGCTCCGTCTGGCGACGGCGGCGCGGTGCCCGTTGTGGCGGCTGAGGCCGCGCTCTCCTTGCGGCCACGTCCACGGCCGCCGCGGCCACGCGCCAACGCAGCCCCCACGGGTGCATTCGGCCCGCCCCGTGCAAGCGCCAGCGCGGTGGCCGGCAACTCCGACGACGCAGCGGTGGCTTCGGGCGCCAGCTCGGCAGCCGGCAGCCTCGGCGTGGGAGTCGGCGACGGCGCCGCCAGAGGGGCGGCCGGCGCAGCGGCAGGCGCGACGGCCACGGGGGCGCCGGTCGGCGCGCAGGACGGCGCGGCCGGCTCGGCGAGGGCCGACGCCTCTGGCTGCTCGTCCGCCTCCGCCTCCGCCTCCGCCTCCGCCTCCTCCTCCTCGTCCTCCTCCTCGTCCTCGTCGTCCTCGTCCTCGCCGCCTCCGCCGGCGGCCAGCCGCTCGCGAGCCAGCCGCTTGGCCCGCGCAACTCTGGCGGCCTCGCGCGCGTCCTCGCCGTCCGAGCTCGTCTCGCCGGCGAGCAGCCCCGTGCGGGCGCCCCCCGGGCGGCCAGGGCGGGCTGCGGCATCGGCGGAGTCCGAAGAAGAGTCGCTGTCGCCGGCCGGCGGCCGCGCGGGCCCGCCCCCGGCACCTGCCCCTGGCGGCCTGGCCGCTGCCCTCGGCGCCAGCTGTGGGTTGGGCTCGTCGTCGCTGTCGCTGCTGCTGCCGGCGGCGCCAGCGCGGCCGCGGCCGCCGCCGGCGGCGCCGGCGCCGCCGCGGCCGCGGCCGTGTCCGCCGCGGCCTCCGCCGCCGCTGGCGGTGCCGGTGCCCCCGCGGCCGCGGCCGTGTCCGCCGCGGCTTCCGCCGCCAGCCCCGCCGCCAGGGCCGCTGGCGGCCTCCTGCTCCGCCTCCTCTTCTCTCGGCGGTGGACAGACCTCCCTTTAATAAACCTCCCCTTAATAATGAAAACGGCCTGCGACAGAAACCGACGGATCTGGACCCGCAAAAATAACGGCCGCGACGCCCTCTCGCGGACCGAGAACGATTCCCCAATCGACGTGTCAGGGTAGGAGGTCTATCCACCTCCGATTCTCCCTTTGACGCCTCCTCCTCCTCCTCATCCTCCTCCTCCTCCACCTCTGCCGCCTGTGGCCTCGGCGCGGCCTCGGGCTCCGACTCCTCGACGGAGGCTTCTACAAAGGGGGGTGCTGAAGGGGGCGAAGGGGTCGAGTCGACCCCCTGGCGTGTTCCACCCCTCCTCCGGGGCAGGGTCCATCAACATCGAATCGGGAAAGCGCATCGCGTCGGAATGCGCATCGTCGTATCGGTCTGCAGCGGCGCGGAATCGAAATCGAATCCGATCGGCCGCGCCAGGATGCAGAACGCCGCCATGCAAGCACTGGGCCGCATCGGATCGTCGGAACCTCGTGACCAAGCGGCTCGGGCCGGCCAGAATCGGCATCGGACCTGGTCGATCGGATCGAACTGGGCCCTGGGGATGGGCTGGACAGGGGGTCTCAACGCAGGGGGTCGGCCCAACGCCCTCTGCCCTGCCCCCCTTAGGAACCCTCCGGTCCTCTGGCTCCTCACTCTCGCCTGCGGACGGCCCGGAACCAGCCGAGGTGTTCATCTGCTAATTAGCAGCCGCGCCGCCCACGGGCAACTCGGAGGGGGCCGGGGGGCAGGCGATCCGACGAGAGGAACACTTGATCAAAATTGCAATGGGAGGGAGGCCGGGCGAGGAGGAGGAGGAGGAGGAAAATAAGAACAGGGGGAGGAGAGCGGCTGAGGGAGGACGGCGTGCGTTGAAGAGCAGGAGTAGGAGGAGGAGGAGGAGGAGGAGGAGGAGGAGGAGGAAGAGGCGGAAGAGGAGGAGGAGGAGGAGGAGGCGGAGGAGGAGGAGGAGGAGGAGGAGGAGGAAGCACGGGCCCCAAGAGACGAGAGGGCGGCTCCCCCGCGCACAGGAGGGAGTCGGGAGAGGCCCCCGCCCGCCCGCAGGCCCTCACGCGAGGAGGATCGGCTCGAGACCGGACCACCGCCTCAGCGAGGCTTTAGGACGAGCGACTGCCGTTCCTCGCGTGGGGACCCACTGCATGTGGATGCCGGATCCTCAAGAGTCGTGATCGACGGGGCAAGCTGTGTCGAGAAACGCCGCAGCGGCAACAAGGAGGAGGAGGAGGAGGAGGAGGAGGAGGAGGAGGAGGAGGAGGAGAAGGAGGAGGAGGAGGAGGAGGAGGAGGAGGCGGCGGCGGCGAAAGAGAAGCGGTGGGCTGGTGATTCCGCCCAGATGTCGCTTCCGGACGGCCCCGAGGCCCCGCGAGGGCCCCCCAGGGGCCGAGGGCGGCGGTGCGCCTCAACCCGGTGCAGGTCTGGGCCCACGCGGAGGATCGCACCCCTCCCTCCTCCTCGTATACCCCTCGGTCGGAAGAAGTATGGGACGTGCAGAGACATGTCTTGATTCGCGGGTCGAGAGCGCACCTCTTCCGGTCGAAGCTAAGCGGGCCGCGCGAAGCTTGAATTAACAATGAGAAAGAGGAAGGGGGGAGAGCGCAGCCTCAGGGCGAGGCCGAGAGGAGGACGTGCAGAGACATGCCAGTACTATATGTCCTGCTTGGAGGCGCGCGTTCGACCCGAGCATATATACCCATCCGGTAGTAGATCGTTTCCCGAGCGGTGGGGCCAGAAAGCGCCCGCCACGACGCACATGCCAGAAGACTTCTCGGTGCGCGCGTCGCCCCTGGGGGGGACGACGCACATATGGTACAAGTATGTTGGGGTGACGCCGAAAGTAAGCAGAAACATGACGTAGGAAGGCGTTGAAAATAAATTGAGTGCCCGCCCGCCCCCTAAGGAGGGCCGAAAAGGTGAAGCCACACTTGACCATTGAAATCGGAGGGCGCTTACATGAGTTTGGAACCTGGGGCTCCCAGAATACGTACTTTCAACGACCGACGGGTATGGTTTTCCTATCGCTTCTGGTAGTGGTCATTACCCTGGGGCGGGGAGGGTTCGGGCCCCGGGTAACGGTAACGCTTGGGCGGGGTCTTGCACGTCGGGGCGGGGGTGCGCTGCGATCGCCAAAGTATGCGCGCGAGCATTAGCATGTCTCTGTGTGGGGGGTCCAGGCTCTCCCCCCCTCGCACGATCGTTACCGTTCCCTGGGCGGGGGGGGGGCCTGGGTAATGACCGTTACGCTCATTGCACCGGCCTTGCAGACGTGCTGCAGCGGATTTTTGCGTGGATGTATGCGTGTTTTTTTTCCCGAAGCGGCGAGCGAAAAACGAAGTGAATTTCGCGTGGATTTTTCTTAGGGACTTCCTCCCAGGCCAAAAACAAATCCGCACGAAATCCACCTCGAGATCCAGAACGAGATTCTCCAGGACACTCCGGGCCCACCCTATTGTTAGCCGAGCGAAATCCGCTCTGCGATGTTGGCGCCATGACCGTTACGCGACAGAGGACTGAAGAGATGCCCCAGCGAAGCATCCCAACAGCAGCACTGGTGAAGAGGCGGGTCGAGGAACGGAAGGTCGATACGGCCATGGGAGCCCTGGTATGTGTACCTTACTAAGGGTCGTGGCTGGCTGGACCAAAGACGTACAGGGGAGGCCAATCCACAAGAAACCTCCCACACGAAGCCCAACCCTGAGACCCTAGGACGTCCATCGATTCTCGGTGTGGGAACGTCACGCTTTCCATGGGGGAAAAAAACGAACCCCAAGAAATCCAAGGCACCCTGGAGGCAAGCAAGGTGTTTCTTGGCACGGGCCTCCACTGTAGCCGGATTTAGGCGAGAGCACGATTTCATGCATAATTGTGGGGGGGTCCTTGAACGAAACGGCTGCCGCACCGGCTGCCTGACCGAACGTCCTCTGGCTCCCCGTCCTCCCTGTGGGACTCTTTTGTAGTACTTTCTTTTGCCTCCACGAGACCCATCTAGCGAAACGCGATTGCATTGCAGACAGTCGAGTAAGATGGTACGGTTTGAAAATTCGGCACGAAGTCTCACATCGCACGAAGGCACCAGTCCAGCCATGTCCAGGAGCTGTCGGCCCAACCAGCCTGGGGAGAGGGGATTTGGCGGCCGGTCTCTGGCGATGGGCGCAGCATCGGGCACCCGAAAACGAGTGCAGGGCCCTCCGAAGACATTGATAAAGATCCCCGCTCGGGAATGTCAACCTCGCCTCGGGCCTCGGATCTGGGTACGGATCCGCCACAGATCCTATGCGGATCCGACGCCCTGTTGCACGGATCTGATGTGAATTCGAGGGTTTTGGGACGATGCCGTCGAGGGTTTTGGGACGATGCCGAGCGGTAGAAAAATACTGTGCTTGGAACGGGTCCTGCCGGACCACTGCGCCTTTGCACAACATTATCTCGTAAATGGTAGCGAAGGTCTTCGAGGACGACTTGCGCAGGGCCACGGGGCAAGCGCGACAAGGGGGGGGGGAACGCCTAGAATGAAGGGGCCCCAGGACACACAAATAAATACACACAAATACAAATATTCCCCATATTTTCAAATATGTTTTGGGGTTCTGTCTTCCCCTCCACTTCCCATATTTCTCTCTCTCTCTCCATATATATATATATATACAAGGCTGCATAGGCGCTTCGCGTCATGCATCTTGTTCCTTGAAGCTTTGGATCGGCTGGCTTCTCGCGGTATCCTGCGGTCCCTTCGAGGGGTCCTCGCGGGCTCGCATTGCGAGGGGGAGTGGGAGGACTTGGTGTTCGAAGCAACGAAAGGGCCAAATGGAATGCAAGAAAAGGACTTCAGAGGGAAACTAATCGAATCCCGGGTTCGCAACCAAATTTCTTTAAAAAAGGGTGCGAACCCAGGATTCTGACCAGAATGCAGCTTTATATTGCAAAATATGAGGCAGGGGGGGCGCGGGGAGGCGTGCTGACGCGACTTTGGGACAGGCAGGCTCTACGAACGTTATGTATGGGCTTCGTTCTCACCTTCCTCTTTGGACGGAGAGCGCTAATTTTCGCGCTCGGAGACTGCGATCCTCGTGAGGGGTCCCGTTTCCGGAAGTCCCGGTTGGGGAGGATCCTATTTCGGGGGGGGGGGGGTCCCACCCCCCAGGATTATAAAGGCCTTCTTCGGAGAACTCGTGGAGGTTCTTAGAGGCCTTGTGGGGCGTCGTGGGGGAACTTCGTGAATGCTTCTTGGCGGCTCTTGGGCGCCTCGTGGCACGTCTGGGGAGCCGTTGAGGAGTCTTGGAGCTTCGTGTGGGCGTCTGGGTGCAGAGTCCTTGAAATCATAAGCCTTTTGCGCGCCTTGTGGCCCTTCTTGTGGCCTCCTGGAAGGGGCTTGGGGCCTCGCGTGGCCGTGTGGGAGCCGAGCGCGTTGCAATTGTATGTTTTTTCCCTTTTAAGCTCTCTCTGAAGCTTGTCTTGGGGCTCTCTGGGGCCGTCTTGGGCACGGCTTGGGCCGTCTGGAGGCTCTGTTGGGCCAGCTGTGGACTCGCTTGGAGGCTGCTTGGGCCCTCTGGGATTGGTCTTGTGGGCGTCTTCGGCCGTCTTGGCACGTCGGAACAGTGAACATGCAACGAAGCCAAAATCTTAGGAAAGCCATCGGAAATTAATGATTTTGATCTCTTGGGGCCTTCTTCAGAGAACTCTGCGAGGTTCGTGGGGCCTTCTCAAGCTGTCGGGGGAACCTTTAAGAAGCTTTTAAGGCAACCCGAGGACCCTCGCGTACCCTCGTAGGTGCCTCTTCGGACGAAGATCGCTCAGTTTCGCGCTGGAAGGCTGCGATCCTCGTGAGGGGTGCCGTTTCTGAAGGCCGTCTTGGGGCTCTCTGGGGCCGTCTTGGGCACCCCTTGGGCCGTGTCGGGGCTGTCTTGGGCCGGTTTCGGACTCGCTTGGAGGCCTCTTGAGCCGTCTGGCATCGGTCTTGTGGGCGTCTTCGGCCGTCTTGGCACGTCGGAACAGTGAACATGCAAAGAAGCAACAATCTTAGAAAAACCATAGGAAATCACTGATTTTCATCTCTCGGGGGCTTCTTCGGAGGACTCTGGAAGGCTCTTGGGACCCTCTTGGGCCTTCGTAGGAGCCTCGAGAAAGCCTCTCGGGAGGTCCAAGGAGCCTCGCGTGTCCTCTCACCTTCCTCTTTGGACGGAGAGCGCTAATTTTCGCGCTCGGAGGCTGCGATCCTCGTGAGGGGTCCCGTTTCCGGAAGTCCCGGTTGGGGAGGATCCTATTTCGGGGGGGGGGGTCCCACCCCCCAGGATTATAAAAAATTAGAAAAGGGAATATATATATATATATATATATATATATATATATCCGGGGAATCGACGATTAATTGTGCCTGTGTGTTTTTCCTTTCCTGATCGAAGATTTTCGGGCTGCTCCTTCCCGAATTTTACTTCGCTGCCCCTCGGGGTTCTGACGTCTTGCCCGCCGCGCGCTCCGAGCACTGGGCCTCGACCTCGCCGTCGCCGCCGCCGTCGTCGCCCTCGCCCTCGCCGCGTCCGCCCCCCTCGTCGTCTGTCGCTGTCGCCACCGCCGTCGTCGTCGCCTTTGCCCCCTGGCACCATGACCGTACAAGCTTCCCCTGACTGTCTCTTGGGGACGAGAAGCTCTCGTCCTTCTCTTCCTCGTCGTCCTCCTCCTGCCTCCTCCTCCTGCTCCTCCTCCTCCTCCTCCTCCTCTTCCTCCTGCTCCTCCTCCTCCTGCCTCCTCCTCCTCCTCATCTTCCTGCCTCCTCCTCCTCCTCCTGCCTCCTCCTCCTCCTGCCTCCTCCTCCTCCTCCTGCCTCCTCCTCCTCCTCCTCCTCCTCCTCCTCCTCCTGCCTCCTCCTCCTCCTCCTCCTCCTCCTCCTCCTCGCCCGCCGCGGGCCGCGCGCCTCCGCGGCCACGCGGCCCGGGATGGTGAGGACCAGCACCCCCGCCGCGAACACGAGGGCGGAGCAGGCGGTGCACAGGATGGCGTAGCCTCGCGCCGCCCGCGCCGCCGGCGGGGCGGCCTCTCGGAGCCGCCGCCCCTCGAGGCTGCCACTCAGAGAACCTCGCGTCTCAGTTTTCTCCAGCCGGGCGTGGTCGCTTTTTTCTGCGGGCCCCGGGCCCTGACAGATCGATCCGGCTCGAAAAATGACGCAGAACGATGGGGTCTAGGGCTCCCGGCGCGATGTTTTACGATGTTGCAGTTTTTTTTGCTACATCGGATCTTGGGGAAGCTTTCGGACGTCTTCGGGATAAGAAGCGAGCCCTGGGGAAAGGGTCAGGGCCTCCCAGGATCGAGCATGGAAAGAACAGGACATCGCATGTCTGGGAAACTCACACAAGTGGTCGCGGACGAGATACGATCACTGCAGTCATGGTCGTCGCCATCGTCCTCTTGCCCTGTCCTCTTCCCCCCAGATTGGGGCAGCGGGCGTGGCGATGAAGCCAGAGAGCTCTCAAACTGAAAGTGCGCAGCTTTGTCCTGCCTAGCTCTCGGACTTGTCGAAGGGACCTGTACCTTCTAGATTCAAGTCTCGGCGGCAACGGATCACGCCACAACTGCTCAATAAAATCAGCGCGCATGTATGCAAACCTGAAGTAATCCATGCAGCAATGTATTCGCAATCCTACGCTCCTGAAGAGACCCCCAAAAGGCGCCCAAGAGGTCCCCAAGCGACCCCCAAGCGGCTCCCAGGAAGCCCCCAGAAGCCACACGACGGCCTCGAGTGGCCTCCTTTTCCTCCTCCTCCTCCTCCTCCTCCTCCTCCTCCTCCTCCTGCTCCCCCTCCTCCTCTTGATCCTCCCTCTCGTCCTCCTCGCTCTTCCTCTCCCGTCCTCTCCCCTGCGCTCCCCCCGAAAGGGCCACGCGACGGCGGGGGGGGGACCCGCGTGCCGCCGCCGGCCTGAACAAAAACCATACGCCCCCTGGCTCGGGCTCGGCAGGGGCCCGCCTGCCCCGGGGGCCTCTGCCCGCGCTCCCCCTCGCCAGTCTGCCGCGGAGCCCCCCCCCCCTCGGCGCTCCTCTCGGCGGTGGACAAGCCTCCCTTTAGAGGAAACTTCCCTTTAGTGAAGACGGCCGATGACCGAAACTGACGGACCCAGAGACCCGCAGAATAGCGGCCGCGACGCCCTCTCGCGAACCGAAAACGGCCCATTCACGAAGCGACGTGTCGACAGGGTAGGAGGTCGATCCCCCTCCGGCGCTCCCTGGGCCACGGCTCGCGCGGAATCGAGCCGCCAGGCGTCACTGCACCGGCCTTGCAGGACGTGCTGCAGCGGACCTTCTGCGTGGAGCTCAGCCGATGCAAAACCCCCCGCAGCGGCGAGTGAAAAGCGGAGAGGATTTCGCGTGGATTTCTGTTGAGCCTTCACTCCTCCAAACAATCCGCACGAAATTCACGTCGAGATCCGGAACGAAATTCTCCAGGACAATCTGGGCCCATCCCATTGGCTTCCGAACGAAATCCGCTCTGCAATGTTGGCGCCATGACAGACGGGGCGGATGATCTAAGAAGCGGGGCCCCGAGCAGGGGCCAGGTTCCATGCGGCGCAGCGAAGATGATGTGCCACGAGTTCGTCTGGGCCGTTCCTTCCGACGCGCGTTCTGAGGCTCAGGCCCAGACCCAGGTCCCCGAGCGAGCCCCTCGCTCCTTGCGCGACGCGGCTTGAGGTTTACGCGCGTACCCAAATGTACAAGTGGCAACGTTAAGGCCTAGTTCCTCGCGCGGGCCCCTCGGTTCCTTACGCGACGGGGTTTTACGCCCACGTGTAGAAGCACATCAAAGTGGTCACGAGAAAGCTCGGTTCCCCGCACGAGCCCTTCGGTTCCTTGCGCGATGCGGTCTGAGGTCCACGTGCATACGGAAATACGAAAGTGGCCACGTTCAGTTTCAGTTTCACGCATGAGCCCCATCGGTCCCTTGCGCGATGAATTGATGAGGATGATGATGGCGATGGCGGCGGCGATGGTGGTGGTGGTAGTCCTGGTGATGATGGTGATGGTGATGATGATGATGATGATGATGATGATGATGATGATGATGATGATGATGATGATGATGATGATGATGATGACGACCCTGGGAAGGTGATGATGATTTGCACAGGGAGAGGAGGAGGAAGTGGAGGAGGAAGATGTGGAAGAAGAGGAGCAATATTTGGCAGACGCTGTGGACGAAAAACAGGATATGGATGACGAAGCTGCTTCGGGATCTTTGGGGCCCCTGGGCCATTTGGGCCCTCTTGGCTCTTGGGCCGTCTTTGGTCTTGGGCGTCTGGGGGCTCTCTTGGGTCCGTTCTGTGCTGTCCAGGGGCCTCTTGGGGCTATATTGCGTCTGGAGGCCGTCTTGGAGGCCAGGGCAAGGTTGAGGCTTCGGCAGGAGTCTGGGCTTTGTGGCTACATAGAGCGGGCCCCATGGACCAGGCTTGGGGCTTGAGTCCTCCGAACTCGAGTCAGAGTCCGTGGTTGGGCAAGCGTGCTGAGAAACGCCCCCGCGGGTTTGCCCCTGGGCGTTCTTAGAGCGGGCGCCCGCAGCAGACGATGCGGGGGGGCAGGTCGGGTGAGAGACACGGCTGGGTACGGTTGAGAACAGGAGGCCTACGAGTTTCCAATGACGCGGAAGTGTGAGGGGGGGGCGGCAGTCGTCGTCGGACCGCCCACGGCCCCGTCCGCGCGCGAGCCCCATCGGTCCCTTGCGCTCGATGCAGTTCCATCAAGGCCCGGGGGCCGTTGGGACTCCGTTTTCCGTGCGTCCCACTCGCCAACAAAAAAAACCTGCCGTTCCTTTCGCGACGCGGGCTCAGGTTTACGTGTGCACCCAGGTAGAAAAGGTGACACGTCTAGGCCGTGCTCCGCACGCGAGCGCCTCGGTTCCTTGTGATCGATGCAATTCCATGAGGGCCCGGGGGCCGTTGGGACTCTCGTTTTCCGTGCGTCCCACTCACCGATCAAACAAACTGCCGTTCCTTGCGCCACGCGGTCGGAGGTTTACGTGTGTACCCAGGTAGAAAAGTGGCACATCAAGGCAGCGTTCCTCGCGCGAGCTCCTCGGTTCCTTGCGATCGATGCAATTTCGATGTTGGCCAGGGGGCCGTCGGGGCTCCCACCATCCGTGCGTCCAGTTGTTGCAGCCCTTCCGTTCCTTGCGCCCGCTGGTGGCGCCCCTTTTTGGCCGTTTTTCGACCTAGGGGCCCCCGTTCCTCATGTTTCGGCGGTGGGCAAGCCTCATTTTCATAAAAACCTCCCTTCAGTGTGAAGACGGCCGAGGACCGAAACCGACGGACCTGGACCCGCAAAAATGACGGCCGCGACGCCCTCTCGCGAACCGAAAACGGCCAATTCGCTAATCGATTTTTTTGTCACAATGTTTTCTCACATTTGTTCGGAGCATCGTTGCCATGCCAGTGCAGCGCATGATCGCGATAGTTCCCCGCATGCTGTGCCACAAGATTGCGCATGCACATGCATGCATGTTTTGCGATTCCGTGGCCGCCGAGGCTCGAAACTAGTAGGGAGGCTTTTCCCATGAACTAGAGTCAGGCAGGTCTTGCAAAATCGCACATCCAAAGCTTGAGAGCTCTTTGGTTTCATCATGCTATCAATCTCCGAATGGTCTCGGGGGACGAGGAGGAGAAGGAAGGGAGGGAGGAGAAGGAGGAAGGGGGGGGGGGGGGGAGGAGGAGGAGGAGGAGGAGGAGGATAGGAGGAGGAGGAGGAGGAGGAGGAGGAGGAGGAGGAGGAGGAGGAGGAGGTGGGAGGAGGAGGAGGAGGAGGAGAGGAGGAGGAGGAGGAGGGGAGGAGGAGGAGGAGGACGAGGAGGAGGAAGGAGGAGGAAGGAGGGAAGGAGGAGGAGGGGAGGAGGAGGGCCAGGGCGAGGAGGAGGAGGAGGAGGAGGAGGGCGAGGAGGAGGAGGAGGAGGAGGAGGAGGAGGTGGAGGAGGAGGAGGAGGTGGAGGAGGACGGAGGAGGAGACGAGGGGAGGGAGGACGGAGGAGGAACGAAGAGGATGGGAGGGAGGAGGAGGAGGAGGAGGAGGAGGAGGAGGAGGAGGAGGAGGAGGAGGAGGAGGAGGAGGAGGAGGAGGAGGAGGAGGAGGAGGTGGAGGAGGAGGAGGAGGAGGAGGAGGAGGAGGTCTGTCAACCTCCGAATGGTCTTGGCAGAAGGAGGGGGCCACTCTCAACTCTCGAAGCATGGGGGCCACGACGGAGGAAGGCCTCCCACGAGGGGGGCGCAGCCCTCCTTTGCAGATGCATGGCTTGATTGTTTGGCCACAGGGGCTTCGCTCCTCGTCTGGCCTTAGGTCGGGCGTGTCCCCCTACAGGCGGACTCTGGACGAAAACACAAACATACCCCAAACATGCGCAAGAATAGTCAAACATAGTGTCGACAGATCGTCCCCGGACCATTGTTCTGGTATGTTTGCGCATCCCTCCTGTAGAGCGGCAGGCAAGACTTAAATCTAGCGTTCCTTCTGGCAGCACGTTGGCTGCAGCCCAACGGCTTGGCGAGACGTCGGCCCAGCGTCTGGCCACACGGGCGGTTCCAAAGGGCAGGGGGGCAGCGGTGGCTCGCGTCGGGCGTTTTCGATCTTTGTTTATGTTGGTTGTGCTACGCACGAGAGTTTTTTTGTATGGTGCGACGGCATGATATCCATGCGTGCTGTAATTATATACACACGTCGTTCATTTATAATCGTGCTCATTTCTGAGTGTGCTCGTTTCTCATTGTTCCTGGACCCCTAGTGGCCAGGAAGAGGCCCAGGATAGAACAATTAGAAATGAAAGGATCTTGGCTCCAAAAAATCAAAGAACATTCGAAGAAATAGACATGAACAATGTGTATATATGTATGCCAAAACCACGCGCGTGCTTCGCACGCGCTTAGGTGCTAGCGCAGTCCAAGCCAGCATACTGGACTGGACGAGGATGGACATCGCCCCGCAAATATCACCATCTGGGACCGTACTCCCGGATGGACGCTTCAGGAGTCGTTGCATAAGCAGGCCCTAAGAGATCCTCCTGCCCTGAGCAGATACACCGAGCAGCTGCCCGAAGAAAAACTGTGGGAGACTTCGGGAGGCTCGTAGCCAGTGGACCGTGCTTCGCGGTCTTGAACATATTCTTGGCGTCTGGAGGGCCCCACCGTACTATCTATAAAGGTGTTAGGGCTATTCCCCCTGCTTGTTCTGGAAAGCGCCCAGGGAGGCCCCAGAAAGGCGCGCAAGGCAGCCACGTTTTGGACCCAGGGCAGCCTACAGGAGGACGCCCGAGAACTCCTTAACAGTCTCGGGAAGCCATGCCTGGGAGTCTCGTTGGATGCCGTTGGGGGACGTTCCTGGAGGACTCCTGGGAGGCCTCTGGGGTTGGGGCCTCTTCGGTTTTTGGTGGGGGTCTCCTAGTGGTTGGGCCTTCTTGGACGCGCCTCGGGGGCCTTCCCGGGGCTCTTGGCATCTGGGCTCGAGATGTGGAAGGCGGCCGGCTTGAAGCAGACAGATCAAGGATTTTCTGTTGTCTCAGGCTGGGCCTCCTACCACTCAGTAGGGCATGATGCTGGGTGAGGGCGGCGGAGGGAGGAAGGAATAAAGGAGAGATGAGGATGGGGGAGTGGGGAGGCGGAAACGCATGAGGGAAGCGGAGGGAGGAAGGCGTGAAGGAGAGACGAGGAAGATGGATGAGGGAAAATGACGCAGCGGGGAAGAGGGCAAAGGAGAGGAAGGAGAAGGCTGCGGAACGGGATACGGAGGATAACCAAACACAACAGAACGAGAGAGAGAAAAAGAGAGAGAGAGAGAGAGAACAAAGAGAACGGACAGCGAGGGATGGGGGAAACGGAAACGCACTCTGGGGCACGCCAAAGCCTGGGACAGGAAGGAACGGAGGGGGATGGACGAACATTAAAAAAGGGATTCGAGGGAACTCCCTTTTTTGTTATGCTGCCTCGGGAGGCCCCCAGAGGCAACCAAGATCGCCCCAAGAGGCGTCGAAGTCCCCCAAGAGCTCCAGGGAAGGTCCCGAGAGGCCAACATCGTTGGGGGCATCTTGGAGCTCTCCCGGGGACCTCGCGGGAGCTCCTGCTCCCGAGGGCCTCTTCGGCGCCGGATGCCTCGGGGGCGGCTCCCGGGAGCTTGTGCGGGCCCGCTCGGAGCGTCGTTGGCGCCCCTTCGGGCGTCCTATCGGGGAGCCTCGCGTGGCCTCTCGGAGCCACTGCGCGCCGCTCGGGGCGCCCCCCGGGGGGCCTCTCGGAGCTCTCTCTGGGGGCCTGCGATGGCCTCGGAAGCGCGTCGGGGGCGGAAGCGCGAGGAAAGCAAGCATTGGCTTCCAGTAGGTTTCTCAATGATTTTGGCATCTCGAGGGCTTCCCCAGAGCTCTTGGGGGACTCCTGGGGCGATCTTGAATGCTCTTGGGGGCGCCCAGAGCCGTCCGGGGGCAGGCTTGGACAGCCTTCGAGCTTTCTTGGGCTGTCTCGGGGGTGTTCTGGGCCGTCTTCAGGCTCTCCCAGGACTCTCTTGGACGTCCGAGAGGGTGGTACAAGGGATTTGCTCGAAATGGTCGCAGAGTTCGCGGAGCCCGAGAGGGGCTGTATAGATATGTGTATATATACATACCTTCTTAGCATAGATGAATGTATAAATGATAGGATATATCGATGCTTGTAGTGTGTCTGCTATATATACACATGGTTTGCGCGTCTGTGTCTGATTATTTGATGTATGCGTACACTGTAAAGAAACATACAGATATGCTTCATGCAACCATGATGTGCGCACGCATGTTCTTTGTCTGTGGTGTGTATCTACGACTTGCGTATATATTATCGGGAGCGGCCAAGAGGGGGGCGTCCAAGAGGGGGGGGGGTGCAAATCATGGCCAGCGGCATGCGCGCGGCCCAGGGGGGGGGGCCAGGGACGTCATAAAATAAGAAGAGGCGACATGACATCTGGGGAAATATCATGGCCCCCGCCATGATATCCACCCCCCCTAGTCATCACCCCCCTCTTTGCCGCCCCCGATACTACGGAGTCGGTTTGCGCACGGCTGTGATGTACATGTGCCCCATGGGGCCTTCTACGAATGCATGCTGCTCGTGTGTAATGATGCTGCTGTGGGCTGCTTTTTTGTCGTGGCGCCTACTCTTCGTGTATGGTCATTCTGCCGTCACTCGTCGAGGGCGCGGTGCGGGAGACCCAAGGATCAACGGGACACTCGAGGCCTGGCGGCCGCGGCACGCTGCTCACAGTGCCGTCACTCTCCGATGACGCGGGCGGGACACCCCGGGCCTGGCGGTCGTGCCACGCAGGGCGAGCGAGGCGGGCCGGGAACGCTGCCTTCACATCGAGCAGCCCCGGCCCGTCGGGCGGAGGAGAAACTTGGTCTCCGAACCTCGACAAGGATCCTCGACCAACATCTGCTCACGGACTGTCCCCGGACCCTTCCCAGAGACCACGCTGGTCAGTTTCTCGTCCCCGGTCGAGGATGGGCGGACCCGGAACCCGAAACTGGTCCCTGGAGACCAAAATGGAAGAACAACAAAAAAACGGTCAACGAGATCGTCATCGTCGTCTTCATCGTCGTCGTCGTCGCCGACGAGGCCCCCTTGCCGCCCCCCTCCCGCCGCCAGGGCCGTACGCGACCGCCGCGTGGTCCGCGTGCGCGTGGCGGCGCATCTCCCGCGACTGGCAGAGATCCAGGACGAGCCCCGCGACGAAGTTTCCGAGGCCGGCCCCTGCGCCGCTGCCGCCAGGCCGCCGCCGACATGCCGCCGCCGCCGCCACTGTCGTCGTCGTCGTCGTCGTCGTCGTCGTCGTCGTCGTCGTCGTCGTCGTCGTCGGCGCCGTCGGGAAATCTGCGGGAAGAAAGCAGGGGAGGGGGAGAGGGGGGGGGGCTGGGGAGGCAGGGGAGGGGGAGAAGGGGGAGGCTGGGGAGGCTGGGGAAGGGGAGGGGGGGCGGGAGGAGCAGGAGGAGGAGGGGGAAACAGGAACACGGAGGAGGCGGGAGGAGGGGGGGAGGGGAATGTTGGGAGGAGCGGGGAGGGGAGGAGTAGGATTAGGAAGGGGGCGGAGGAGGAGGAGCAGGAGAGAGAGGAGGAGGAGGAGGAGAGACCAGAATACCTACAATTTTCCTCTTCACTACAAGAAACGCCCCCTTGGGCCTGCCATTTTGGCGAGGGCCCCGGTCTGAAAATGCCTTGGCTTTGGTCCTTCTGGCACATACAACCGGGAACGCGAAAACTATGGGTGTCCAATGGATTCCCCTTTCGAAGTAGGACCATCCCCCATCCGTGTACAGTGGAGGCCAGTCCACAAGAAACCTTGCACAAGAAACCCAACCCTGAGACCCCAGACGTCCATTGATTTTTGGTGTGGGAGCGTCACGCTTTCCATCGGGAAACCATGAAAACACAAGAGACCCAGGGCACCCTGCAGGCAAACAGGGTGTTTCTCGGCATAGGTTTCCACTGTACAGCCAGCAACGCGAAAACTATTATCATGCACTTTCACGGGGTGTCCAGCGCGATCTCCCTTCCGAAGCAGGACCATCCCCCATCCGTGTAAGTGTTGCGCAAGGTTACTGTTAGGTCGGGCGTGTCCTCCTACAGGCGGGTTCTGGACGACAATTACACATGCCCAAACATAATAATCAAACATGTTCGGACATAGTATAACAACTCGTCCCCAGGCTACTTGCTTGACTATGCTTGCATCTTACTCCTGTAGAGGGACATGCCCGACTCAAGACTACCTGCTGTGGCCACGAGCTCCGAAGAAACCCCGAGATCGCCCAGACCGCCCTGAAAAGAGAGAGCCGCCCTGGATCCGTGCAGCGCCACGTGCGTCGCGGCTTCGGGCCTTGAAATGCAGTCGGCGACGCCTCCAGCGAGAGCCCCACCTCCAGCCGGCGGCGAGCGAGCGGGGGGGGGGAAAGTGCGAAAGGAGAGGGCCTTCTCAGAAGGCCCGGAAGTCCCGCGGCCTCCTGAGAGAAGCTTCCTGGGCCTCTCCCGAAGACCAACAGAAACCCCCTCGGAGGGCGCGAGGGCTTCCGAGAAGTCCCGCCGCCTCCTGAGAAGGCCTTCTCCTCCTCACTTCCCCCCCGTCGCTCGCCGCCGATCCACAATCATCCGTACACCCTGCGAGATGCTTAAGAAATCATGGGTTAAGAAATTCATAGTCTCAGAAAGTGAATAAAACCCAGAACTTCTATCAAAATCTTGGGATTTACATTGAAACGTTAAGAATAATCGAGACTCTGGCCGAAAACTTGGGTTTTCTTAAGCATCGCCTAAGGTGTACTTCTAGGCGCTGCAGTAAAAAAAAACGACTGTGCGCGGCGCTGACGCGAGAGCTCCGACCTCAGAACGACCGGCGCTCAGTCCCGGAAGCTGCTGCAGCATCTTGAAAACGAGTGCTCGCGGCGCCAGGGCGCGAGCCCCACTCTGAAAAGGAGCCGCCCTCTATCCGCGAAGCTAGTGCAGCATGCCGAAACCACTACGCGCGGCGCTGAGGCGAGAAGACCATGGACAAAACAACGCCCCCCCTCCAGCCCCGAAGCTGCTGCAACCTTGTGAGACGAATGTGTGCGGCGGCGAGGGCAGCATTTCGAGAACGGCCCCCCTTCCATCCCCGAAGCTGCTGCAAATTTGGGAAACGAATTATGCAGGGCTGGGGCGAGAGCCACATTTTAAAGCGACACCCCCCTCCATCCCTGCAGCTGCTGCAAAGTTGTAAGACGAATGACTGTGCGCGGCGCTGAAGCGAGAGCCGCATTTTGAAAACGACCCCATCTCCGTTCCTCAAACTGTTGCGAGCTATCTCACAATCGATCTCATTATCGGTTTTACCATCGAACTCACTCAATCGATCTTACCATCAAAATCACTATCGATCTCATTATCGGTCTAACTATCGCCCTCACTCTCGATGCCATTACCGAAATCACTCAATCAAGAGTAGTATTGATCCTTCGATCTCACTGTCGATAACACTATCGATCTTACGATCGCTCTCACCCAATCGATTTCACTGCCGTTATAAACATCATCGATATCACCATCGACCTCACTATCGGTCTCACTGTCGATGTCACTATCGATCGCATGATTGATCTCACTATCGATGCCACTATCGATCTCACTATCGATTTCGCCAATCAGTGCCAAGCAATGTAGATGCCTCGGCGATGCCACGTGCTAAGCCATGCGAAACATGAGTGTTTGGGACACGTCAGCATGAGAGTGCAGTGTTCCTCCCCTTCTCCGCCTGCGCATCGCAATGCGTGGGAGTGCATTACGCCCTTCTCCATCTTCGTCGCTGCCTCCTCGTTCCACTATGGTTTCATGTGGTGTCCCTTCTCCTTCCTTCTCCCCTGCGACCCCCCCGGCACTGCAACGAAATTCTGAACAATGCCAAAGAATGCCTGACAATGCCAAGTCGTGTGCAGCATTGCCAAGTACTGCCAGCACTTCCAGAGGCCTCTAGAGCTTTCGGGTTTCTCCAGAACGACGACGACAAGGCCGAGGCCACGACCGAGGAGGACAAGCGGTGAGGCAGGATGATAGGGTCCGAGGAGGCCACGGTCGAGGTGGCGTCGCGTTCCTCCACGAGTCCGAGGACTGGGCACCCGAGGGGAGGCTTAAGTTTTAGCTGTTTTATGTCGCATTGCATTTGTGAGTATGTGTTTTACTTTTCCTGGCGTGCGATTGCGCTTGCATCGGTATGCGGAGGCCTGTGGATATTCTCCAGAGGCCCCCCGGACACTCACAGAGGCCACCAAGGACCTCTGAGCAGGCAGTCTTCTCACGCGCTTGGAAATCGCCCAGTCAGAGGGGCGGTGGATGTTTAAGGATATTCCTCTCTCTCTCTATATATGCGCCTTTCACATACGCGCGCGGACTTCGGGCGCCGCATAAGCCTGGTCCAGCCCGCGCGGTGCCCCCTGGGTGGGGCTGCGGTTTCGCCGGAGCGTGAAGACGCTTCAGCGCAGAACGCCACTCTAAATCCTTCTTGCCATCCAACTCATTTCAACCCATGCTCCCTTGGGTGCAAGAAACTGGCGCCAGCGCGAAGATAAGAAACGCCCGGAGGAGCGTCCCGATCCGCGCATCCCACTGCAGAGCGGGGATCAATGGTCTGGCTGGCATTTTTTGGCGGTCCAGCCATTGTGCTGGTCATGACTGCTCGGCGAGTCCTCGTTCCTTCTCCTCCTTGCTGGGCTTCTTCGTTTCATTTTTGCTTGATCCTTATCCGCAAGCTTCTGGCGGTGCCAGCGTGCACAGCAGACTTCCAGCGGCCGATACCGATGTAATTAGTTTTCTCGGGTGCTGCGGTTAAGAACGTTTGATGCCGGTTCTGGCCCACCACACTTTGGCGCGACACGCTAGCCACGCTCCAGTCGCCGAGCGTCAACGTCCCGAGCGTTGCTGTCCCCAGGGTTTGCCGGCAGTGGCCCACGGAGCTTCGCCTCGCCCATACGCGCGACACAAACACTAACACCGAAACCGATTTTCCAGTGGGTGGGTCTCCGTTCTGGCTGCGATCTCACCCCCGACCTCGGCTATATAGATGTAATAGAACCACGCGCGCTACGCGCGCTTAGGTTCTTGCCACAGATGAGCCACGGGTGCCGCTGGAAGCCCCGCTGTGGTCACAACGACGATTGCCAGCGTTTTGGGGCCCATGCCATTGACGCAAAGAAACGCGTAGTCAGAACGCTCTCCCTCTGCCAGGGCCGCCCTTGAAGGGTGGGAGGGGAAAAGCAACTTGTGACATTATAGCGTATAGCGATGCCCCGCTCGCTCTGGCGGGGCCTGTCTGGCGCTCTGGCGGGGCCATCCCAGGAAAGGAGGGAGGAGCACGAAAGCTGAGGGGAGAGGGGAGGAAGAGGAGAGAGGAGGGAATGGAGGCAAGGGGAGGGGGCGGGAGGGAAGGAGGGACGGAGGGGGACTCCCTCCCCTGCGGCGCCGAGTAGCTTGCACATAGTTGAGAAGCCCATCGCGGTGGCCGTCTCAACGTCAGACGGGAGGAGCTGCCAGTTGCAATCCTTCCAGGGCGGGCAACAAGTGCGGCAAGTGCGCGCGGCAAGCAGCTGCACTCCGTCCCCCTCGTCACGGGACTCCTGCTCGTCGTCCGTCTGATGCCGCTCTTCGATGTCATGCTCCTCCTGCTTCGCATCATCCCTGCCACCACGATATCTCTCGTCATCATTCCGCTTATTGTCCTACTGCTGCTCCTGCTCATAGTGATTACTCTGCTCCTCCTGCTCATAGTGATTACCCTGCTGGCGTGAGTCAGGCAATAAGAAGGGAAGGGCGAGCGCCCATTCAGCACGCTTCGCTTCTTCCTTCTGATGGTCCTGTTCCCGGAGCAGACGGCCCAGCATCGGGTGGATACATAAAAAATCGTCGACAACGTCGCATCGGCAGGCATCGGCTGAAAATCGGCTGCGCCATCGAATCACATCGGATCGGCAAACAAAGGCGAAGCCGAACCGAATCGAGTCGGAAAATGAATCGCGTCAAGCCGGATCGGAATCGAAATCGAAAGGCGGGGGGGGGCAAGGAGGGTGGAGCAGGTGATTGGCCCGACTTCCGTCGCCGTGCATCGTCGTAGGCCCTGTACGTCGTCGTACGCACGTCGCCGTAGACGCCTTCGTCGCACGTCGTCGTAGACGTCGGCGTTCGCCTCGTCTTGCCCCTCGAGGCACGCGTCGCCGCCTCTGCTGCCCCGACACGCAGCACGCAACACGCAGCGTGTTGATGCGGAGCTCGGCACGTGGACTGAAAAAACGTAGGCACGACGCGACACGCTCGCCAAAACGCAGGCCAACAGGCTGAGCCAACACGCAACGTATAGAAGAAGAATACGATTAACAAACAACGACACTAGCATCTAGGGCTCCCAACTTCGCGCTTCGCGCTGCGCGAAGCGCGAAGCGCGAATAACTTCGCGCTCTCGCGCCGCCCTCCCAAAGGGAGAATAGGAGGACGAGGAGGAGGGGGAGAAGGAACGAGGACCGCGAAGCGCGAATAACTTCGCGCCCTCGAGGGAGCCCTTGTTTAGCATAAACTGTTGGCGCTCCGCGCGGATTCTTGGATCCGCGCCAGGCCGCCTCTCGGCCGACGCCGCTGTCGTCGTCGTCGCTTCGTCCGTGTCCGTCGTCGTTGTCCGCTTCTTCCCGGGGAGATGCTTGCGTCGCCGACCCGGAGCGGACCGGATCGACATGAAATCGACGAAAGCCGGCTGCCACTTCGAATCGGCCCCGCGCCGGATGTCGAAATCGGCATCGCGTTTCGGAATGCCCGCATCGAGTCGAATCGAGTTGGAACCATGGGAGATGGATCAGAAAACAAACGACACCACCCCACCTGCGGCCCCACGGGGCTTAGCGTATACCAGGAGATCTGGAATGGATTTTTGCATGGTATACGCGACGGCGCCCGATGGGCCGCAGCGCAACATGGAGGGCCGTAACTCGGTGGGGTGGGGTCGCTTGTTTTTTGGTCGAAGGGATCGATTCGAATCGGCGCGGCCGAGTCGGAAAGCGCCCTGCTGGGCCGTTTCCGACAAGGCAGGTGTAAGCGCCTCTCGTCCCCCTGGAGGGAGGGCCGCAGGAAGTGGCGGCTGTCCCCGACGCCCCCCTCCTGGAAGCGCGAGTACACGGAGCCGAAAGTCGCGCCCATCAGCGCCGAGAGCACGTAGAAGGCCCCCCTACCGCCAGACAGGGCGGCGGAGCGGAGCACGGGGAGAAGATGAGGACACTGCACGAAGGGGATGCCCACCATACACCTACACCGATCCTGGCCTGGCCAATCCAGTCCAGGGCCCAGGATCGGCCTGGCCAGGATTGGTGGTGTATAGTTGGTGCCCTCCGACGTGCTCCCCGATAATTGCCGAGCACGCCCGCTTGCTGACGGGGGGCCCCGTGCCCACGCATCCCACCGCCTCGAGGGCTACCGCCAGGACCTTTTGCCTAGCTTGTCGCGGCGGCGGCCCCAGCGACGCGCTATGCGCTGCAAGCGGATGCCGCGTGGCTCCGCTGCGCGGGGCGGGAGGCTGGCAAAAGCTCGGGACTTTGACGCTCGGCGACTGGAGCGTGGCTAGCGTGTCGCGCCAAAGCGTGGTGGGCCAGAAACAGCAGCAAACGTTCTTAACCGCAGCACCCGAGAAAACTAATTACATCAGTATCGGCCGCTGGAAGTCTGCTGTGCACGCTGGTACCGCCAGAAGCTTGCGGATAAGGATCAAGCAACAATGAGACGAAGAAGCCCAGCAAGGAGGAGAAGGAACGAGGACTCGCCGAGCAGTCATGACCAGCACAATGGCCGGACCGCCAAAAAAGGTCAGCCAGACCATGGATCCGCATCTAGGAATGTAGCACACAAGAAAAACTGCGCATTCTAGACCCAGTCTTTGGCAAATGCGCTCTCCGCTCTCCGCTCTCCGTCTCCTCCCGCTGGACTCTGGCGCAAACACCTGGCCTGTAGAATCTTGGTTTCTGAGCTCCTGCTATTATCCCCCTGGTTTTCCTCCAGCACATCCTTTTCTGGGTCCTTAGGAGGAGGAGGAGGAGGAGGGAGGAGGAGCTGGAGAAGGAGGAGGAAGGAGGAAGGAGGAGGGA